TGATCGTGTTCCTTTCTCTGCGACCGCATAGAACAAAAATACCCCTGCCCCAAATAAGCTTACGTGATCGCGAAGAAGGTTTGGAACACCAGAAATCAGCAGCTACCAGCAGTGCAGAAATGAAGGAAAAATAATCCGAATACCATCCGAAACACGCCCGAACCCCTCGGGACCTCAACCAAATATACCAACAAGTCTTAAAACATCATATGAACTTAGTCGAGTCTTCAAATCACATCCAACAACACTAAAAATATAAATTATACCCCAATTCAAGCTTAATGAACTTTAAAATTTCAAGTTTTCACAAACAATGCCGAAACCTATCAAATCACGTCCGATTGACCTCAAATTTTGCACACAAGTCATAAATGACACAACAGACCTATTAAAATTTTCAGAATCGAAATCCGACCTCGATATCAAAAAGTCAACCCCCCGGTCAAACTTCCCAAAAATTCATCATTCGGCATTTCATGCCCACTTCCACTACGAACCTCCAAATAATTTTCTGGACATGCTCCTAAGTCCAAAATCACCATACGGAGCTATTGGAATTATCAGAATTCGAATCCGAGGTCGTTTACACATAAGTCCACATCCGGTCACTATTTTAACTTAAGCTTTAAACCTTGGAACTAAGTGTTCCAATTCATTCCAAAACCTCACCGGACCCGAACCAATTACCCTGACAATTCACACAATAACTGTAAAGTACAATTTGAGCAGTAAATAGGAAAACAAGGTTGTAATACTCAAAACGACCGGCCAAGTCATTACAGTTACGAATGATAATTTTTTGAAAGTATAACTAATAATGGTAAATATAATGTATATGTTTGCATCGCATAATTTTTTATTATAATTTTCCTATTTTTTACATCAAAATGGAAGATGAAAAACTCGAATCAAAGTCATTATATTTGAACTTGTAATATCATCATTTTTTTAATGATCGACGATCACTTATGGGTCAAATATATTTTTGTTCAGTGGAATAAGTTTTGATTAACGAAAGAGGTCTCTTGCGCTTATATTCTCCAAATACAATTATATAAAGTTGAAATTGTTATGAAATAAAAGTAATTTAGTGCGATATAAATAAGAAACAGAAATAGAAAAAGGAGCTTTCCACTTAGCTTCTTTCCATCGTCATTTACATAGCATTTTATAGGCATAAAAGGTGAATAGTAAAATAGCGCAGGGGATAGACATAAATTATGGAAATCCATTCACAAACTATTCTCTTTACAACATAAGCTCTATATAGTTAATTGTTTTCAAATTATTCTATACTTGATACGTGAAGCACTATTTGTAATGTTTTTTGGGATTTTTCGACAGATCAACTAAAACATAAATAAGATGTTATTAATTGAGCTTATCTTTTTTTTCTTCTTCTTAAACTCTCTGAGGAATAATTTATTTTGAGAATTCTTTCATCAAGTACCTTGAAATTTACTTAAGCTGAGGCTTTTCTTTTTCATATATAATAATCTTTTTATTTGTTTGATTTCTTGTTTGAGTCTGCAGAGCAATTTATTAAGAATAAAACTAAAAGAGTATGTAACGTTCTAATTTGATCATAATATGTTGTTTGAAGAGACAACAAGTATACTAACCTAATACATGGATTGAGCAACTAAAAGTTTTATATGAGTCAATAAAACCAAATTAAAAGAAGAGGAAACAAAAAGACAACAACAACAAAGATCTCATGTGATAAGTAAGTAAATGTTTAACATTCCCCTGTAACGGTCTGTTGGTTGCGAGTTCAATTTCTGTTAATGATGAAAGTTTGCTTAAGTAATAAAATTGAGATTTCAATAATTTGGAGATTGTGAGTTCTGTCTTATTACTCGTTGAAATAACAAGGCTAATCACTAGTTAGATTCAAGCACTTTCTTCTAAAAATATGATTTTTTTCTTTTGTGATATATCAATATAATATGATCTCCGGTTAATAGTTTATTTATATTTTTTTTGGCGTGCATGCATATAATATAGTTGACACAATACTACCTAGTTTGTTGTTTTCTCAAAAATAGATTGTGACTTTCATATATTTATTTTGTAAGCACATGTGTCCCTATTAATATTATTGCTTTTCCATAGCTATATTTTAATAGATATTATTTTCTATTTTATACTTTAATTTAATAAAAATAAATAAATAATTAAAAATTTTTATAATAAATATTTAAATATTTATTTTTTGTAAATAATACTAATTGTAAACTAAATTTTTACTGTCTTTTTTTTTTCTCGTAATTTGGCACTCAAAAATACTTTTTGAAAAATTGACCAAACATATTTTGCTTATCAAATATCGCAAAAAGAAAAAAACACTTCTTAAACGAATTGGCCAAATACAAACAACTAACTTCAAAAAATACTTTTTTGAAAACATTGTTCAAAAATAAGTACTTTTTGACAGCTTAGTCGAATATGCTCGTAGTATGAATCATACCAAAAGAAGCGGTCTTTCTGGCCAAAGTGAAGTATGTTTATGAAAGAAAAGAGAAAAGAAATGATATTTCACATTCTATCAAAAAGTTTAAACTATTAGAGATCACACACTAGTTATTCTATGCATTCTCGCTCCCATTTTATCATTTTAACCACAAATTTAGATTCCAGACTAAGACTATCTAAAGACAGTAATACTATCGAATTGGGTTTATCTAGTGGAGTCGCACTTAATTAACTACTTAAATTAAGATTTAAGATTATCTTGAGTTCCAGAGGCTAGTCTTTAATTTTACACATGACTATTTGTGTTCTATAAACTCGATACTTCTACAGCCCTCTGTAGACTTGGAATTTAGAAACATCAACTATTATGAAAAGCTAGTAAAAATAACGGTCACGTATTTAATTTTTTAGTTCACATTATGTACTTAATGACTAAGAGAAAACTAAACACAAAAGTTATTATGTTTTTTCGTTCGGACAAAACTATAAAAATAGAAAGAACAATCGTTATACAAAAGACGTTCGTTTAATTTAGGAAAAAATCAGAAATAGCCAGATTTACAACTCGTAATTGAAAATAGACACAGTTTCAAAAGTAATCGAAATTTAACCACTTTTTCATGTAAAGATAAAATCTGAACAAAAACACATTTACAAATCAGAAAAAAATCAGGAGTTCGAATTTTTTACATATGAGATTCCAACATAATGTACTGGAATTTCATACTGTGCTGGAGTTCCAACATAATATGCTGAAAGTTCATACGCAGGAGCTCCAATGTTCAGCATATTATGCTCAAACTTTTCGTGTGCTGGAGTTCCAACATAATATGCTGGAATTTTATGCGCAGGAGCTCCATAATCCAACATATTATGCCGGAATTTTTCGTGTTTCGGCAAAATAATGGCTATTTTTAGCGACTTTGCAAAGGCTAGCTATTTTTTAATTACCAGTTCAAAAACTGGCTAGCCTGTGTTATTTTCACTTTTAATTTACCTCTTTTTATAAAACTGATTATAAATATAGAAAAACAAACATGGTATAATGAATACAAATTTTATCAAGTGATATACTCTATTAAAAGAAGGAAGAAAAATATAAGAGAAAATAAATGATTATTATAGAGAAAGAATTTAAATTGATTTGATAGAATTTATTGAAGTCTGTGTACTCTTCAATCACCATCATTTGAAAATATATGTTTGTGGGCGATTATGGAGAAGCTAATTTTTGGTTCGGGAATTTATTGCTACATATGCTCTCTTTGATCCATAATAAGTGACGTTTTGATCTTTTTATTTTGGTCCAAAATAAGTATTTTTTTACATAATCAAAAAGGAATTAATTTTATTTTTTCAAAATTTGCCCTCATTTGCATATCCCAATATGTCAAAGTAACAATATGCAAATTTTAATTAAGGGTAATTTAGTCAATATATCTTTTTTTCTCTATGAGCTAGTATTTTCTTAAGGGGTGTGCCAAATGTTAAAAGTCACTTATTATGGAGGGAGTAACTTATATCCATTGGATGCCATTGACAATGTAATGGATTTTTTACACTATCAATGCAATTTAATTTGTTATAGAAAGTTAGCAATATTATTTTAGGTTATTAATGTCACTTATTAATGGTAGTTACTACTCTCTCCGTTCACTTTTACTTATTCACTATGAACTTTGCACACCCCTTAAGAAATAATAAATGAAATGCATAATTTACTATGATACCCATATTAATTGATGCATATTTTTAATGGATTTGAGAATAATGAAATAATGATTTGAAATGAGTAATTAATACTGTGGGTATAACAGGAAAAAAGAAACTGTCTTATCTTGATATGCTAAAAATGACAAGTAAAAGTGAAAATATATTTTTAGAATGTGGACAAGTAAAAGTAAACGGAAGAAGTACATATATTACCTTTTAAGTGATATGATAGCTTTTAAACTGTGTTAAACTCTATTGTTAATGTCACGCATACATTACGTATGAGATTTAACTTATTTATACTGACACGTAAATTTTGTTTTCCTCTCAATGTATTTTAATTTACTCCTTTTCAAGTTACCACATTAGACTTGAAACTATTGAATAGTTTCATGTCGTACACAAAAGTTAATCTCTTATGTTTATGTCCAACTATATGCAAAGCCTTAGCATATTCATATGCATGTCTTCCTTAACATGAATATCTATTTGGACAATTCTTTGCTTTGCAAAACTTTCATAGGAAGTTCTCTTTCAAATTTTGGAATGTTATTATGTTAATCTTCACACAAACAAGAAGCACATTGCAAACAGCAAGCAGATCCTAATCTTAGCTATAGATGAGAACAAAAAGAAAACAAGAAAAAGGAAAAAAGAAGACAACATTCTCACTAGCTACGTGGAAGCAGTCACTAATGTTTGCATTAGGGTAGACTGTCTATATCATACCCTTGGGGTGCGGCCCTTCCCTAGACCTTACGTGAACGCGAGATGCCTTATGCACCGGGTTGCCCATTCTCACTAGCTAATGTAGCTATCCATTTTCTGAAGGGAACTCCTTCTGCAGCTGGACCAATATTCAGCCACAAGTTTAGCAAAAGAAGAATTGGTTTGCATGAGTTTTGAGGGCTGATCATACTCCACAAGTTCCCCTACACCAATACCAAATTTGCATTTAAATCTTGTTAGTCATTTCTAAAATAACAGTAAGATTGAAACTGATGCTCCAACTTTAGAACTTAAAGAAACATACCAAAAGAGAGGACCATGACCATATTGCTGTCTATGACAGTAGGAACTCGGTGAGCAACAGTTATTACTGTGCAGTTTGAGAATTCTTCTCTAATAATTCTTTGCAGAATGGCATCAGTGGCCGAGTCGATAGAGGCAGTTGCTTCATCCAATACTAGAATCCTGTTCCTCCTCAAAAGGACCCTGCCTAAACAGAAGAGCTGTCGTTGCCCCATACTCCAGTTTTCGCCTTCATCACTGACTGTTGAAAGTGAAATCAAACATCATAGTACATAATATATAACACATAAGAAAAGATAATAATTGTTACATTTTGTTGAAAATTTTACTCACCAGATGAGTCTAGCAAGTTTGGCAGTGTACTAATAGTAGCCTTAAGCTGGCATTTCTCTAGAGCCTGTAAACCAGATATCAACTAAATTAATAGAGTATGAACCATATGTATTTGTTCAAAGAAAAGGACACTACTGTAAATTATTAATAGAATTCTATCAATTTACAGACTAAAGTTACCTTCCATATCTCATCATCAGAATAGAGACCTAAAGGGTCCAAATTTGTTCGAACGCTCCCCTTGAAAAGTGTTGGTTCTTGAGGGATGATGCTAAGTTTTGACCTTAAATCCTTGAGGCCTATAGAACAAATGTTAATACCGTCTATCGTAATATTCCCACTGTAAGGCTCTACTAGGCGAAATAGAGCGCTTATAAGTGTTGTTTTGCCACTTCCTGTCCTTCCTACTACTCCTACTCTGGTCCCCTCGCTGAAAGTGCAAGTTATCCCTTTGAGAACTAATGGAGCATTTGGACGATATCTAATCTGCAATCGAACAAGAACTACAGTGGTTAAAACAATATATGGAGTGTTTGGAACTGCATTCTAAGCATAGAGGCATCAGATGAATGTTGGGATATCTCCAAGTTTTCAGTTTCACAACATTTGTTAGATGATAATATTCATATTTCCAACGAATAATTTGGATATATGTTAAATATATGTAAGAATACAAGTTGTAATTACCCCCACCTTTAGATCCAACAATTCTATTCTACCGTTGGTAGGCCAAGAAGATGGTGGCCTATTCTTTTCCACAATTGCTGGAGGCTCGGGAGGTATATGCATGAACTGTTTGATCCTTTCAGCCGAAATCACATAGTTAGCTAAGCTGCTATACCATCGGCTTAAGAAAACTTGAGTATTGGTAAGTGCCAACGCATAAGAAAGAGAAAGTCCGATAAGACCTGAATGGAACAAAGAAAAAGGCTATCAACAACAAGAACATAGGAAATTGAAAGTTGTTAATATCAACTAGCACAAAATAATAGCATGAGTACCTGTAGAGACAAAACCCTTTNAGACAAAACCCTTCGGGATCGAAACTAGGAGAAAAGCAGCAGTGAATAGGGTGAGGTTTTGAAGTGCTTCAGTTCTAAAAACTAACCACTCCATTGCTCCATTGGAGCAGAAAAAGACTTTTGCATCTGCATCGACAAGTTTTAGGTAGTTTTGGAAGAATCTGTCGACTGCTCCAAATGCTCTTATTGTGGCAACTCCAAGTGATGTCTCGGTTGCATAATTCATAACAGGAGCCTTTGTTGTCCCGTTGATCCTCATCAGCTCCTTGGCAGAAGGTTGATAATGTTCCTTCAGATAAAAAGGAAATATTTCAAATTAACAACTTTGTCATAGTAGTAATTACTATTTAAAAAGGACAACCTGGTGCGCTAAGCTCCCGCTATGCGCAGAGTCCAAGAAAGGGCCGGACCACAAGGGTCTATTGTACGCAGCCTTACCTTGTATTTCCGCAAGAGGCTGTTTTCACGGCTCGAACCCGTGACCTCCTGGTCACATGACAACAACTTTACCAGCTACGCCAAGGCTTACCTTCGAGTATTTACTATTTAGAGGAAAATAATTTCACCTGGACATATTTTGAGCCTACTGTAGCAACAATGCCCACAAGGAGAACCTGCCATGTCACCGAGGCCATAATGCCGATTGTTGCAAGCAATTCTATTCCAGCAGCCATCACATATGCATAGGAGAATGGCATGTCAAAATCTAATACGCTCAAATCTGACGAAGCCTGAGGATTCAATAATAGGCAAAAATCAGTGAGACCTGTTTTGCGACATACTATAAGTTGTTCAAAGGAAAAGACAAGTGTTTTTCATAGTCAGTTATTAAACACAAGTGCAAAAGAACAAAGTCTTACTCGGATCAATATCCGCCCAACGGGAGTAGAGTCGAAGAACAGCATAGGAGCATTGAAAATGGAATTTGTGAAACCAGAAAAAAAGGCTTTAGAAGCTTTTAAACCGAGGAGAGCTGCAAATAGAGATCTGAGATACACAAACAATGCACTAACTAGTGATACTAAAGTATAGACACCAATAACCATGATATGGCTAAATTTAGGACTTTGAATTGCAATTGCAAGCCAGTAACTTGCAGCGGCCTGAAAAGCAACAAAGCCGGCCTGAGTAAGTATGTTGTAACAAAGGAAGAGTGATCCTTTAGAGATTACAACATAGTCTAGGAAGAGCTTCCACATAGCAGTTTCAGTTTCCTTTTCTTCCTCCTCTGTCAATTGTATTCCCGGCTTTAAGGAAACCTCTTTTTGGCTGTTTTCTTTTACAATGTAAGGCTTCTTAGTCTCTTCGAGTTCATTTCCAAGTCCTATATAAGGTTCACTTTCATCTTTATAGGCCAGAGGATCAAGCCCAGCTACAGCATTTGTGTGAGCATTCACAAGCTGCTCAAAGGCCATCCCAGACATCAATAGCTCATTATAACTTCCCGATTGAGTAATTTGTCCGCTCTCCATTACCTGGAAAAATAATTAGCATAAATAATTGACATAATGCGATTAATGAATAAGAACCGGAAAGAGATTCTAACTAGTCAAAGTTAGTTACCAGAATTTGGTCAACCTCAGAGAGGAACTCCACTTGATGAGTAACAAGGATGACGGTTTTATTCTTCAGAGCAGTCATAACACAGTCCTGCAATTATGTTCAAAGTACTATAAAATACTAGAGTATGTTACTTCGGTCTGTCAAAGTTGACATGCATGATACCAAGTTTTCACAGTTAACCTCACATTAAAAAGAGTTGATGCTGTATGTGCATCTACAGCGCTAAAAGGATCATCAAGAATATAAATATCAGCATCACTATACACAGCTCGAGCAAGTTGAATCCTCTGCTTCTGTCCTCCACTCATATTGAGCCCTCGCTGACCTATCTCCGTGAGGTCACCATGGGCAAAACTGTCGATATCTTTGTCTAGAGCAGATACCTTAACCGCCTCATGATACTTGTTTCCGTCCATTGACCTCCCAAACAGTATATTATCACGGACAGTTCCACTCTGGATCCAAGCAGTTTGAGAGACATAAGCGATGGATCCAAATACATGTACCTAGAAACAATTGCAAGCAGAATTTAAGTCAATTAATTATAGGAGATATTTCATACAAATATCTTGATATGATGACTCACTGTTCCTGCGGTTTTTGGTATTTCTCCAAGTATGGCATATAGAAGAGATGATTTCCCACCTCCAACTGACCCACAAACTGCAATCTTCTGTCCTCTTTTTGCTTGAAAATTTAAATTTTTAAGCAATGCATCAGGTGACTGCGGATCCCAGGTGAAATGACCACCTACTATACAGACACTATGATCTGAATCCCCAGGAGAAAATGTCACCACATCCTCTGGTTTGACTTCATCTTCGAGTAGGAAACTATTGATCCTATCAAAAGAAACTTTGACTTGAATCAAAGCTGAAAGAGCCTCTGGTATCATTCTAACAGGTTCTGACATGCACCTCAACGCCGCCAACACAGTGAAAATCGTAGCAGCATCAAACGGGGCACTCCCCAAAAGGACAAGCCCCAAAAAGATGACACATGAGACGATAGTTGGGGACATCCAATATAGTAAAGTGCCATAAGCCTTCTTAATCTGAATTTCAGCCAACCACTTAAATTCATTCTCCCGATGCGAGCCAATTGAGTCCTTGAAGTTTTCTTCCCAGGATTGCAACTTGATTATCTTCATACTATTAAGAATCTCAGACATACATCTCAGTCGTTTATCTTGAGCAATCATAAATTCAGATTGACATTTCTGAAGTAACTTTGCAAATGGCACATTCAGCAACCCACAGATAACGAGGGGTACTAAACCTGGAATTGCTCCAAGTCCTACAACCCCGAAAAGAACAATAACAGCTAAAAATACTTGCAGGCCAAAGCCCCATGCGCTGTGAAACCACATCGGAGATTCTCCCATTCGGTAAGCATCCACAGCAATGTAGTTCACTATCTCTCCAGTTGAGTGCCTATGCCTTCCTAAACTTGAGAGCTTGAGCTGTTTATTATAAACTGCCACCATTAGAGCTGATCTCATTCTCATACCAATCCTCCTCGAATAGAAAAGGAAATGTCGAGAAGAAAAAGAGTCAACAAGCTTGTCAACAACCAAGCACCCCACTAATAGAACACCTTCAAGAAAGGTTCTTCTCTCGCGACTTGAATAAGCCACAAATGCATATAGCATTAAAGGAGCAATTACAACGGCAACAATCCTGAGAAGTACTAATGCTCCAGCAATAACCATTTGTTTCCAGTAAACTCTTGCTATGGCCTTAATGAGTAAGTTCTCCGAATTGTTCTGATGCTTCTCCCTTTGGAGTGCTTGCCACTCACGGGAAAGTTGCTCGTATGCTAAGATCGCTTCATCCTCAGATCCTAGACAAGGAATATCTTCAAGAGCTAATGTTTTCGAGTTTCCTAAGCGAAGCAAACCATTAATCCAAGAAAATGACAACTTGCCAAAAAGACCGGCCTGGCTTATACTAATTTGGTTGTGATCAGGTTGATCAACTAGTAGAGGTTCTAACAAATTCTGTTTTGAAGAGGATTGAGAAATGATGTGATAAAAGGTACTTAAGGCAGAAAGGAAAATCAAGAAAGACACTAGCCACGTCACCACTTCCAGAGCCGGGATGCTGTGTGTTTTTATGGAAACTTCAATATTGAGAGTGGAAATCAACACAAAGAAAATGACCCACCAAGCTGATATCAAGATTTGGATCCATTTGAATCCTTGAACAAGCAATGATACAGTTAAACTAATCCAAATCAATCCGCGAACAAGGTATTGTAACCAACTTAAATGACTTACACCACCATCTTTACTACTAGTAAGTTCCCATAAACCAAGACCAAAATACACAATGCTTACAAGAGCACAACAAACAGAAATTCCTAGAGTTTTCCAATCCCTCCTATAACCACAAAAAATTCTAATTTTTCTCACAGAACTTACAAGTAAGACAAGAAGGAAAAGAAAGACTAACAAAAGATTCAATGCATCTACTATTGCTCTGTGGATACATAATGAACCCCAATTGAATTCTCCTCCACATATCCACAAGAATTCTCCTGCAGTATCATTGTATTCAAATGTATGATAAGTCATCATATTTTGAAAACAGATAACAAGATAAAGAAGGCATTAATACAAAATGAACTTGCTAGATAACAGAGACGCATTCGGCATTTAAACTTGACAGGTTCAACCTCTACGGTTCTTAACACTAAGCTCATTGTACTTTTGAGAGCCAGCTTTCTGCTGATGGTCAAGAAAGTAACAAGATTCTAAAACACAAACATTTATCTTCGTAATAATACTTCACTCTATATTTCTTTTCTTTAATTTTTTTTTTGGGTAAAGAAGCAAGCTAACAGTTTTCTTCATTGAGGAGCCAGCAACAATATAATGTAAGTACTAAAAATCAAAGGCAATGATAGAAAAAGCTGCAGTTAGTTCGTTCAAATGGAAACTAAGATGTTAACAGGGCAAAGAAAATACAAGTAATTAAATAGTATACCAAGTTGAACAGCATGTGGAGAAGCCATTGTTAGAGGGATGCCTCTAATCAGATGATGCAGCTTATTCATATATGCAAATTAAACCTACAGCTACCTATATATAGTTGAACATTCATATATGCAAATTAAACCTACAGCTACCTATATATAGTTATTTGAGAAGTGTATATTTATACTAGGATTTAATTTATATTTATTAGTATTAATTAATAATTTTATAAGAGATAGCAGCACGGCCAAAGAGATGGTGATGACAATGAGAACGCAATGATGTTAAAGTATGAGGAGTATAAGTGTTTGTATTGTCCTATTCTGTCTGCTCTGAATCAGTCAGCTGACCACGACCTCTAGTCCAGTAGCACAGTATCACAAGTTTTTTGTTTCTATTGGCGATGTTTTCCTCAATTCTAACAGTATTGTATTTTTTTTTTTTTGCATGTGCGAATAAATATCATATTTATAGCCGAAAAGATTGAAAATCGTGCAGATATTTTTTAACGGGGTGAGACCTTTTGGGCAAAATCATATGGGCTTGGCCTAAAACGAACAATATTAAAAGTATCTTTAGGCTGGTCTAGCCCAATTGTTAGGGATATATTATATATGCCCTATATCCAATCTCATATTTGATTATTTGAACATATTTTTGTGAATGTTATTTGATATAAAAATATATGGCATTTGATATTCATTTATCATAGTTATTATTAAATGCTTGATTAATTTAATAAGGTACTTGATTAAATTTTGAGACTTGTCATCATGATGGAGATCATGATAATGAGAGTAAAGTCTCTTACAACTTAATCTAAATTTTGTTAGTAATCCGGTTAGATCAATATTTATGTGATCGCCTTTATGGGATAAAGATTAGTTAATCTCATTAACTAAATCACATAAATAGATGATGCATATAGAGATATGATCGTTGAACCGATTCATTGGATAATTCCTAATGATTAGAATTATCATAAACTGTTAATAAGATATTCTCTCGAAGAATGTGATGTAAGAGTTTCCTTTGACCTGATATCATCATAGTAATTGCCAAGTTATTTATTGTGCTTTGATACTAAACACCTATGGCCCTAGGGCGATAGTTGAAAGGATATTGAGTACGATTAAATACTTGAAGAATTAGTGATTGACCAAGATGGAATCTGTCAACTCTTGGTAATGAATTTAAGTTCCATGTTGTCATGAATTATAACCGACCAAATTAAGACCTTGGCCATGGCGATTGAATGAAAGAAGAAAGAGTTTCTTAGGTCACTCAATGGTTGATTATATTTGACATGAACACATAGTTGGTCGCCTATTAGGATTTGACAGTTGAACCATATCCTAGGGTGACCCAGAGCTACAAGGACAGAAGGAATTAATACATTATTCTTCTACGTGTTCATAAGAGTAAATTGTATATTTCATGCTATCCGGTCGTGAAGGAGTGTTGCTAGACGCCACCCTTGATTAGTATATTGATGTGATCAATTTACTACCGGCTTAGTATTGAACCTATGGGGTCGCACACTAACGAGTGTTCTGATCTTTGCTAACGGATTAATTATTTTATTATTTGATAATTAAATTAAAGAATTTAATTAGTTAAATAAATTTAGTTATTAGTCCAAATAAAATATTATTATATTCTTTGCTAGCACAGATGATATAATTAATATTGTGGACAAGTTGAAATTTTCTATTTGGAATAAAAATTTAAATTATATCTCTTGGTTAAAATATGTATGTGATATATATAATTAATAGTTATTTATATAAGGGATATATATAAAAATATTATTAAATACTTGATTGTGAAATTCAATTAGGAATTGAATTCCTAAAGAGTTCGGCAAATTCAACTCATTAGATGAGATTTGAATTTTATAATAGTAAAATATTTCTAAGTTAGAATCCAAGTTTGAATTGAAGAAGTAAGGTCAAAGTCCATAAAAGGACGTCGACAACTCAAACTTGTTTTCTTGTTTTCAATAGGAAAATTCCAATGTTTTGAATTGGACTTCATGGAAAGTCCATGATTCTCCGCAGACACCAATATGGAATAGAATTGTATCTTTCCATTAGAATATTATAAAAAATTCCAATTATAGAATTGATCTTCACGGTTGGTAAGTTTTGTCCTTAACTTAATGGAATTTCAATTTCAATTGAAAATTTATGTCTGGTATTAGACTTGCAAAAAATGGCCGCCTCTAACTTTTCCTCAAAGTACTGGAAAAAGAATTACTAAGGCAATTTATATATATATATATATAAAAAACTTTTCCTCAAAGTACTGGAAAAAGAATTACTAAGGCAATTTTTATATTTTTATATAT